CTTCAACTTACCTGCAAGGAGAAGTGGCAAAAGAAAGAGAGTTAATAATTATTGTAATGGACACTGATGTTGATTCGGGGACACTGACACTTCAAATCTCAAGCTCTGATAATATTCTAGGTTTTCTCTTGATTTTGTATTATCTTTAAGCAGTTCTCTAAAATGGGTACTGTTTTTACTCAAACTCTTTTACAGCGTGGCTTAGCAGCAAGGGGTGAGGTTAACTCTTTTTTTATGATCAGACATCTCTTGTTTGTTTTTTGTCTTAACAGACTCCCAAGTATTTTTATTTGTAAATCAAACATTACCAACTCCCCGAGAACTACATTTCCACCTCCCTATTATTCTCATGGGACAATGGGGAAACTTGGGAAAAACTTCCAGAAACCAAACATGGAATTATAATAATTATGGTTTATGGTGGCCAGCGTTTTCCCTTTTTTTTTCTCTCAAGAGTTTTGATTTGATCAAACACTTTTGTGGCCCTTTAATTGGCCAATTTGCCTGGCCGACTTTTATGAAAATACGTTCCCGCCTGCTATTTGTTTGCTTTGACACCCATTCTCCGTTCTTCCAACGTCCAACGTCCAACGTCCAACTTCAGCTTCCAACTTCTATCGGAGTCCGTTTCTGGGCTTTTTGTGTAATTTCCAAGAGATAATTGAAAATTAATTGCTTTCGACAGCTGAACATGAGCCGGGGAGAGCTTCAACTTCAACTTCAACTTCATCTTCAGATTTCAGCTTCCACCTCCTTCATCTGCAGCTTCGTTAACATCTGTGGGGGCACCGCACCGCTTGGTCGTAAGGAACGAGTTATTTAATTAGTTTTGACGCGATACTTTTCCCCCCCTCTTTGTTTCCACAACATTCTTTAAGGTCGACACGCGATCCCCCTACTCTCTCTCTCTCTCTCCCTGTTTCTCTCTGTGAAATTGATCGCATCGCCTCTGGATCAGATTGGAGATCGCTTGTGGATGTGTGTGCGTTGTCTAGCGACACCTTGTATCACGGAAGCCACCGAACGCTTGAACGCTGATTGAATTTCAATTTTTGTGCTCCATGACTCAATTTGCCAATGGAAATGTGTGCTGTGGGCTGTGGGCTGTGCCTTCTCCTTCGTCTATAAACTTGTTCTCCGCAGGAGAGTTCAAAAGAGGATGCCCGATGCCTGATGCCCAAAAGGAACTTCCACTCGAAAACTGGACAATGGCCAATGTTCGATGATTGAGTGGGTGGCACTGCCAGATATAGAGGGAGAGAGAGAGAGAGAGAGGGAGCAGTGGCTTAACCAGTGGCAGTGGTGCATGCAGCATGGATGGGGCAACAAACAAACAAGATTTCACAATCAGCGCTAGACCGAAAAGTGTGTTTGAATTTCGAGTTAAACGGCATCGTCCCCAGAGGAGGTAAAAAGGAAGGAGGACCTGAAGGAGAGATGATACCGAACAAAACGAGAGGCCATCGCATTGAGTGGTCGACAGAGCTGAGCGATATCATGGCACACGGTGACTGCTACTGTGACTGCAACTGTTACTGTCACTGTTTTGCCTCTTCCAGTGTGGCTTAGCAGTTAAATGTGTTTTTTTTTTGTCTGACATACGCACACAGGGAGCACATCCGTTTATCTATCGCGGTCGCCGCTTCTGCTAAAAATTACTGTTACGGCTTTTTGTGCTCTTCTCTCTCTCTCCCAGTGTGGCTTAGCATCACCATTGGTACTCTGACGGCTAATATAAAGCATTTTGCTTCTAATGCCAATTAGATGTAATGTAAATAGTTATTTCCCTTTGAAACAATTTTGCAGTGGTTTTCCTCTTTCAGTTTTTGTTCCACCCAATTTGATGACAATCCGCTGCCACAACAAGTGCTGGTGCCATTCCTATTTATACTTCAATCACAGTTACCTTTTTCATTACAAATTCCAACTCCAATCACTGTTCAAACTGTTACCCATACTGCTTCCATATAATGCTACTGTCACTAACGCACTGCCCTAAACACTGCCCCTCCAACTCCTCCTGGCTGGACCACTGCTTCTGCTACTTCCATTGCCACTGCTGCAGTCCCATGCCACTGTCCGTTCTGTCGATGAGCATGAGAAATGGTCGAGTAAATGTAAATGCCTCCTGCCTGGAGGAGCAACTGAGAAATGTTTGGCCAAATCGCATGCCAGCACTCCGTCTGGGCGGCCCCATCCCCAATCCCCCCTTACTTCCTGCAACTGCTGATTTCCATGACAACCTGCAGGAGGCATGCGGCATGAGGCATGCAATCGTTGCAAAGATATTTCATGGCTCTAGCCATAGCCATAGCCATAGCCATAGGCCATGAAAGTGCACAGTTGTCAACTCTCAACAGGCGGCAGAAACAGAAGGCACAAGTTGAAAGAGCACCAACAGCAGTAGCAGCTCCGTACAGATGTATGTATGTAGCTGTGTGGCAGGCAGTAGTTTGTGGCAGCTGCAAGCGTAGTTGTACAAAGTAGTTGTGGCAGTCGTCGCAGGAGTAGCGCCCGAGGAGTAGTATCTGTAGTACCAAAAGTCCAGACATTCGGGTTTTTCTGCTTTCTGGAGTTTAACGATCGCCGATGGGCATCGGAGCTCCATCTCTCTTCTCCCACACCCCATATCTTTCTCCCTCTCCTTTGGTGTGTGTCTGTGTATAATTGAAGCGTCAAGCCTTTTACCATATGCCCCAGGGGCATGGATGTGTTCTGGCCTGCCGGAATGTCCAAGTAAAACAGCTGGCAAATGCATTTACGAGTACTCGTTCAAGTATATTGTACCACGAGCAATCATTCATCGATGTTTGAGCATTCTCCGAAGGCAGAGAGCTCTAACAAGGGGAGCACGCACTCGATTCAATTCTCTTCTTTTATGTTTTTCGCATGTGTCTTGTTAATGAAACCATTCAAGGAATCAAATACGTATTCACTTTGTAATGAGTCTCATGTTTATAACTTTATGCAGGCACTTTCCTTTTTTCCCTCTCTGCAATTGAAGGGAAACGAAACTTCTGCTCCTAAAACTCTCAAACTCAAAAGCATAGTATTTCTGTCAAAATATACTTCTTACACTGCAGAGGACCCTTCAGCTTTCGGGACACAGCATGCTGTGTCAACGTGTCACGCGTGAATCACGCATTCAAATCATGCTGGGCCTTTGTTTCATCGGAACATTTTTGGACAGCCACAAGTTGGTTTTGCAGCTGCGTTTACCCCATCGCATCGCCCATCGGCGCCCACGTCAAAGGCAGTGTCAACCGCACGACAAGCACCGAACAAAAAACAACCACGAACGGCAGCCTGGCTGGCGGTGGCAGGCAGAGGAGGCAGGGGAGGCAGGGGAGGCAGCATTCGGCTGTAGAATAAATCATAATTTGTCAGCATGAAATTTGTTTGACGTTGCTTTGTTCTTGTTTGCTGCCTGCCATCCCATCCCATCCCATCCCATCCCATTCCATCTCGTGCCGCTTTTCCATTTTCATATCATTTTTATATAATTTTGTAAACCTTTTTTATTTTACTTTTCTTTTCAATTTAGCTTTGCTTGTGTTTTGTTGCTTCTCCACATCTCCCATCTCCCATCTCCCATCTCCATCTTCACCTCATCCGTTGGACGCATTTTTCTTCATTTAATTTGCATTCTTCTTCGGTTTCTCCCCATTTTCGTCTTCGTCGTCGTCTAAGTTGGCGTTGTCGTCGTTTCTGCTTTATTCGCCTGTCGCTCTTTTTTAATTAGCCAAAAATACGCTTAACAACGAATTTGTCGTTTACATTTACGTCATCAACAAAGAGAAATTATAATTTATATGCCCCCCAACCCCTTTTAGCAAAGCAGCGGGTAGACAGCCAGGGGGGGAGTGGTATGCACCAAAACTAGGTCAACGTGTCGCTTGCGCAGTGCAAATACGAATATCGCGACGAAACTGCCACGTGACTCACGAATCATGAACGATGGACTTTCTTCTGAATTCAGTTTTGGGAATAACCCTTTGGCTGCTTGAAACGCAGCCATTAGGCTCATTATTCTCTTACCACCTTACCTTACTTATTATGGGACTTTCGTAGAAAATGCAGCTTCAGCTGAAGCCATCAGCTGCAGAATATCCATAGATACCCCTTTCAAAATATCGCGTTACCAATCAAAAACTTTGCGACAAATTGTCAATGCTCCGTTTTACGTATCTAATGCAAACATCCACAAAGATCTGAATATTCCAACCATTAAAGAAGAAATAAAAAAAACTAGTAAGAAATACATCGACAGACTCCACAACCACGAAAATAATTTAGCCTTAAGTCTATTAGACAATAGCCTAACAGTAAGAAGACTGAAAAGATACCACATTCTCGATATCCCTGATAGATAAATTTAACAAACTAAAAAGATGTTATATTAATAGCAGGGCTCATTGGAAAACTGCTATTTCTGTTAATTGAATATTAATTATACAATTTACTTATTGTTTAAAAACAGATTGTAAATATAAAGAGAGAGAGAAAAAAAAAAAAAAATATCGCAAGCAATATTATTCGATATATTCAACAAATATTTAAGGTTGTGCTCGTGATTCAGTGTGAAGTAGGCGAGCGATATCGATAGTCGGCTTGTTCTATCGACAAATAAAAACGAAGCAGCCCTGGCATTTAGTTTTGCAGTGAAAAAGTGTGCTTAAAAGTTTCCCCCAAAAGTCTTTGCGAAATGGCTTACCGGGTAATGTTTGTTTTGCCACGAAAGCATAGCATTTTGCTCACCCCGGGCCCAAATCAGTATAACGTTCGCAGAATTTTCCGTTACCAGGAGTTGCCAAAGAAACTGGAGGGTAAGTCGGCCGCCGCAAAATGAAGTCACATGGGATAAATTGTTTTTTCTTCCCCTGCGCCCATGTGCTGCAGAGTGCAAGGCGAAGTTAAGCCAGACTCGTTCTGTCTTCCACGTGTACGAGACCTTCAAAACGTTCTACTCACTGATCGAGTGGAACGAAAGGGATGGCGTCTCCATTCGGATCACGATGCAAGCCTTCAACATGATGTTTTCGAGTGTTGAGTATCTGGTCCAGCGGCTGACCAAAGTACTCGACCAGATTGAGCCGCTCACAGATCAGATGCGCCTCGCCTATTTGAATGTCACCCAGATGACGCTCTATCTGCAGGTGACTATGGTAAAGCAGATCGACGGCATGGCCCAACATCCGTGGGCAGAGTACCCTGAGTGGGAAGAGCAGCGCTTCAAATTCCTCTTGCAGCTCTTCAAAATTCTGCTGCTGCCATTGCAGCGCCTGTGGAATCCGCCCGTGGTGGGTGATGACTTTATAGCGTGAGCATGGACCAACTGAGAAACTACGATCCATTGTTTCACCTACTTTCTGCCCTTACAGTCTGATATGCAATATATGCTACGATACAATAATTCGCACACCGATGGACGACGGGAACCAAACTATGTTTGATCTTGTCTTCATGATTTTGGGCATCTGCATTAAACGCTTCAACCATGACAATGTCTTCAAGGAGCGCATACTGCAGATTCTACGGGACACCACACACGCCGCCAGTTCGGTGGCCAGAGGCATCCTGACGATGCACGACATCCACGGAGTCATCTCAATCTTCTACACTCTGCTGAAAATAATTGTGGAGGAAATGAAGCTGAAGGCCGAGGACACGCTCACGACAGTGTCCGAGCCCTTCTCCGCCTTCCTCGCCAAGTTCTCGAGCTTCGCTAAAGACGGTGTCCGTCGCTTCACGCGTAATGGCGTCATTGGCCAGTCCCGGAAGGATCCGAGGCGCCTTTTCTTCGACTGCTTCTATCACCAGAAGCTCACGAATTTTGATGGCATAGCCATGTGCGTGTTCGACTACATCGAGCGCATGTACCTTTTCCCCAAGGTGGTGGCCCGCTCACTACTCAAGGAGCTCCTTGAGCTATTCGACAACAACAAATACCTACGTGAAAGCACGGGGCCCAGTGAGATTCTCCCCTTTATGGTGACCCGATTTTTGTTTTGCATTGGTTACATGATCATCCAGAAGTCGATACGTCTCGAAATAGATTTCGATACTAACGAGCAGTGCCCAAGCGATGAGCAGACGGACCAGCCGAAGCCCCCCAAACTGGCGAGACTCTTAATTAATGGCGTGGCGATGCAGGAGCCGTACGAGGATGGCACGATTATCACCGCCGATCAAATGAACGTTCTCTGCGAGGATATGCTGAAGCTCAATCCGGTAGGCCTAGTCCACCGTCTGAAGGCCATTATCCACGCTATTAGCATGAAGCCGAGCGTAAGCCGAGATCCGTTGCTGCAGCGGGCGGTAGTCACCACATTGGGGCGCCTGATGTGCATCTCGTCGAGCTTTTGCCCACTCAAAATACCCTTTCTCATGGACCTCCTCCAATTGACCAGCAAAATGAAGATCAAGTGCGGCCCGGATCTTACCATGCGCTTCCCGAACGTAATTGAAATGTGGTCCTGTCACCTGTACTGGCAGGTGAGGTCGACGAATGCGGAGCTGCGCCTCACGGCAGCTAAGATAATGTCGCACCTCATGGTCAACGATATGATACCCGTGAAGGAACATTTATCGGGCTTAGCACGCTGCATAATGGCCTCAGAAGAGGAGATACAGGAAACCGCCAAGCAATTCTTCCAGATGTTCGCCAACAAGAACTTGAACCTCTTTTACAAATTTCTGCCAGGCATTATCATGCAGCTGGGCGAAAGCTCTCTGCGCGAGACTAAGATGCTTTACAACCGAATTGAAGTTATATCGTTCCTAATGGGGCTCATCCCGAGGGATGGCAATATCGAGAAGCTATTGAATAAGCTCATCTGCAGCTTAGGCGATTCCTTCGACGGGCGCCAGTGTAGCGACATTGCCCTCAGCCTCAGCCATATCAACTACAACGTGTCTTTGCTCACAAACTTGATGGAAAAAATGCATCTCTACCACGTAAACCTGCAGCAGGAGGACATCTACCAGCAGTTCTTCCAGATCATCCGCAACTCCCAACGACAGGCAACACCTGAGATGAACGCCACCATCGCCGAGTTCAAGAAGCGCCTCAGGGCATCCCTTCTTACTTACAGCTTGAATGCTTCTTCTAAGCTGCCCTCCACACGAAACTTCACAATATAATACTCCCCTTAACTACAAAACACTTCTCCCGTTACCACCTTCTGTGGCATCGGGTGCATCTCAGTTAACAAAATGACCAACCAAGACCAGGCAAACATCACAGCCCATGCGAGTATTTCGACAGTGTGGTGCAATGCATACACATATGAAAATCAATTTATATAAAAAGCTAAAGCCAAGAAGCAAAGCCAAAACATGTAGCCAACACCCCTCTGCCACTGGAAAACTCTTTCTCGTATTTTTTTTGTTTGAGTTTTGCCAATCAAGTGGCACTGCTGCCCCAACCTCCACGTCCGTTGTCGTTTGGTCAATGAATAAATGGCAACTGTAAATGAAAACAATTCAAATTAAACATGGTCTAAAGGGAGGACCAATGGATCGGATGGCAGTGGATGGATGGATGAATGGATGGATGGTTGGTTGGGGCCATATGCCCCATTGAAAACTGCAACAGGGGCAGCAACTTCAAATGGAGCGGTGGCAGAAAAAAATCAGCAGCCGCAACAGCAGCAGGGAAACAACACAAACAAAAAATCCGCAGCAGCAAAGTGGACTTCAGGCTAATATCACAAACGCAATTACACGGACTCTCTCACTCGGACTACGGGGGACATTGGAGGAGGACTACGGGTCTCTCTATACGTGCATATTTCTGAGGCGTAGGCGGTGGCGGAGGTGGCGGGGGGTTCTAACGAAACAAAAGCAATTGCCCGTCGGGCGAGGCCAGACTGTACTCCCCGCTGCTCCTTCGTTCCCCAAGGGTTTATTGGACATCGTGGAGCATTCAATAGACGACTCATGCACTGAGAGAAGAGAGGACATTCTTTCAAATAATTGTAATTGATTCAATTAATAAAGTATCGCGAAATAATCTTTTAGCTTATGCCGAAGCAAATACTTATAAGAGTCGTTTAAAGTCGTTTAATCTTTCATCTTTCTGGCACGTTCAATCTTTAAAGAAAATTTACTTTCAGATATATTCTGCCAAAATATTACTTTATTTTCCATTCTCTGTTCACTTTTAATCAACTAATTCTGTAGAGTTCCCTGAGGCTTCGTGTCGCTCGTTATGCAGCAGGTAGGGCAACTCGGTTGCTTCGTGTTTGGGTAACGTTAGAAGCAGTCAATACAGACACTCCTGACTCCAAATATTCCCCACTAATAAGCAGGTTTTTTCTTTCAGTGCATCCTTCACAGAGGAAGGGAGAGGGAGAGAGGGAGATAGAGAGACACACACTTACTAGCATAATAGGCAGGCACTTGGACTGACTCGAGCTTTTGTCTCTGAACCTCAACCGCTCAAACGCTCCACTGCTCCACTGCTCCACCGCTCCACCGCTCAACCAGGTATTCAGGTAGCTGAAGAAGTTTGTTTGTTCTTTTTTTTGTTTTGTTTTGTTTTATTTCTACTTTTTTTTTTATACTCGTAGGTGGTTGGTTGTGTGTGGGCCCTGCCCTCTGGGCAAGTTAACGGAAGCAAGCAATTTAGCTGCTAAAAAGGCCGAGGCCAAGGAATTGGCAATGGCACCGCTGAGAGTTGGGAGCGTCGATCGGGGAGCTGGGAGCTAGCAAGATGGGGAGCCAGAGACCACCGCTGCTGGGAGTCTATCGAGCAGCGATTGAAAAATCACTTAACCGTAAGGATGGGCAAGGATTTGCCTCTTGTATATTTTAAAGCGGAGTGATTTACCCTTGCAAAAATCCCATTGATGTCATTTCTGATTGAATTTCGATTATATACATACATATGTAGATGATAGATCTAGATTTAGACGTGGATCTGCAACTGCTGCTTAATTAATAATGTTCATGCCATCACATCTCTAGTGTCTATTGAATTTGGTTCAGTGTCCTTCGAGTTACTACTTAAGTGGTTCTAAATCGCTTGCTCGTGTATCGTTCGTGTAATGTTTCAATGACTTTGCTCTTTCGCTTACTCTCTTTTCCACCTGCTCCTTGTCTTCTGCTATTTCTCTAAGACTTCGTTTGCCGCTCCCTTTCTCCATTATCCCTTTTCTCTATCACTTTTGCAACTGTCGTAATTTGCGCGCTTTGTTTTAATTAAAATTCAAATGCGTTGCAATTTCATTAATTACCAGTCACTCACGGGCAACACACAGGCAACACAGAGGCACACACTCCATAGACAGTGGCAGACGTGGCAGACATGGCTCTGATGTTGCCTCCGCTGCCTGCTGCCACTTGCAGCCATTTTATAGTTGGGAGGCTTTTGAAAATGGCGCTGACGTGACTCCCAGGACGGACCCAGGGTGCCTGTGCTGCTGCTGCTGCATGCCACCAGCGAAGCGAACCATGAAAGCAAACGCATTCCCCTGCAACAAGGGGCACACGCCTCTTTGCCTCTCTGCCTCTCACTCTTCGAAAGGCAAAAGCGGTGAACCGCATTCGCACGAAGCCTGTCCGACAGTGGCCCCAGCTCTCTGTCTCTCGCTCTCTCTCTCGGCCTCCCTGAACCGTCTATGTGTGTGTCAGTCAACAATTCAATTAACGTGTTGATGATTTTGTGGCATGCAACATGGCGAAACGAGTTGCAAATGCGTTGCCCAGAACTCCGTGTTCCCGTTTTCCAGTGTTCCCATGTCTGGACTTCCTATCCGTTGATGTTTTGCGTGTCCTTTTTGCCCACACCATTCGCAGGATCTGCAGCATTTTAATGAGCAATTGATTGCCAAGGACTCCACGCCACCACCCCCACACACCCCAGGCAATGCCTACTTTCCAGCGACAATTTGTCAATTAGTTTGTCAATTGTGTTGGCAACACTTTTCCTGGCTCCACCACTTTTCCCGCGGGGCAGCAGCAGCAGGAGCGGCAGCATCGGCAAGCGAAAAATGTGAGTGCTGCCTGCCGCAATTAAACAAATGCTTTGCTGTCTCGCTTTCCCTGTCCCTGTCCCTGTCCCTGTCTCTGTTTCTGTCTCGCGCTGTCGAATGGCCCGAGGGCAGAAGAAATGCTTAACACTTTCAATTAAACGCATTAATTTTATGGGATTATGCCAGTAGTAGATGGAAGCGATGGGGCACGTTCTGTGTCCTCCATTTGGTCCTGCCTTGGCCACGGATACTGGGTACTTGCTCCTGCGCCACAGGCAGGAGGGCGGTCGCATCGCATATCAAATTTAATTTGCTCATTTGCCCTAAAAGCTCCTTAATGTGTCTTGGGTGGCCCTGCGTCCCTACTGTCAGCATTCGGCGGAATTTCGCCACACCCCACTGCCCTGCCTCTTCCTTACCTCAGCGAAAATGCGCCCCTAATTAAATTCAATATTAAATTGAGCAAAACGCAATTAACTCAAAAGGCGCACAACACACCCACACACACACACACCGAGCAGACGTTCCCTGCGATGGCGATGGCGACGATGGCCACATTGATGGGCCTGAGGAGTGCGGAGTGGTAGACACTGGCACAGAGCCAGGGCATAGGCCAGGCCATTCTCATTCTCATTCTCATCTTCATCTTTATCCTCTCATCGTCATAGCCATTGCCATGGGACACGGCCTGGGCGGCGACAGTGGCAGCGCAGCGTTCCCTCTGTTGACTCTGATTTGCAGGAAAGAGAGAGGGAGAGCGCGTGAGGAATGGCAGAGAGGTGGGCATAATCGGCATGGGTTGGCCATAAAAGGATGGTGCCACAGTGGCGACAATTGCCACTGGTGGTAAGAAGAATTCTTGCAGCCAGCGAAAGTGGGGAGGACAACAGTGCACGAAAATGAATACCTATCGATAAAGTTCGACTATTTCTAATACAATTAATAAATTAAAGGCTGAAGCGAATCAGGGATGATATTCCCTGGAAACCTGAAGAAACATAAAGTGACCGAGAAAGAGGGGACTCAGAGGTAAGCGGAGGTAAGCGGTAAAACAGATCCCGGAAAGTAGATGTAGCAAAAATGGAGCATTCTAGTGCCCATTTGGGACGAGGCTAATGGTCCCATGCCAGGCACCATCTCCACGCCAGGGTTCAATTGTCATTGTAAATTTGGGGACAGCGGAAATTCCGGTTCTGTCATTGAGGCTATTGCAAATAGTTTTTGGGCAAGCACTCAATTGTACACTTTCGAGGCAACAGATACATGGGATGACAACCCATCTTATACTATCAATTATCAAAATGAATTAAAACAAGCACACATATACCGACTAAACTATGGTAAGCCTCCAGCTCCTACCTTTCGCTGTATTCTTCTGCGACTGTGGCCCCAAAACCTGAACCTCATACCCCCGACCGCTGCTCTTGTGATGCCATAGAACGTTGGAGGCTGTTGTGTGGGCGTTGAAACAAAAACGAAGGACAACAGCGGCAGTTACAGAGATAACAATTAACAACGTTTGTCAGTTGGCCCGTGCTACGTGCCCCAACTCCAGCAGCACAGCAGCACAGCCACAGGGCCACCAGGCCACCGCTAGAGCCAGTGTGTGCCCCCACTTCATCATCATCATCGTTTTTGAGCGTTGCCTGTGCAACCCGGGGGCTACGTTTTGGCAATCTTAGATGTCGGCAAACATTTTGTGTGCGTGTTGCAGCCTCCGACTGCTCTTCGATGCTACTGTTTGGGTGCTTTGGTATACAGTCTGCAGTCTGCAGTCTGCAGTCTCTGGTCTATGCTTGAATTTGTACCGCGCCGTCTGGGTCTCTGGCTCTGTCGCGCTCGCTGGTCTGTGGCCACCGATCCGATGTGTGCCAGCGATAACAATGCGCCCCAGAAGCGAAAACTGAGCGACGGAATCTCCGCCGACACATGCAAAAGCAAAATTAATGTCTGTTAATGTTTTGAAACCGCCTGCCGCATGCCGCATGCCCACTGCCCCTGTCACAACCCCTTGCCACTACTACTGTGCAGACAAGCCAACGAAGCAAGCAACCAAAACTTTGGGATACATCACTTCACATCCAAAGTGTTTAATGTTTCATTACACAGAACTCTGACGAGCTGACGGGATGACGAGAGCACGGCAGATAGAAGTTGTCTACGGGCATGTACTAGCTGATACCACGGTGGTGGGGAGGCAAGTCAAGCAGTTCGGGGAGGGCGCGTGGCAGGTGGTGGTTAAGGGCGTATAAGGTGTGGGGGTTAGTCGGGGTCACAGAGCAAATGTCAAACTGCAATCTAGCATTCAGTCATCTGTCAGTTTTGTTGAAGCTCTGCATTCAGTTTTGCAGAGAACATCCCACCTGGTGATGTGCAGGGAGTGCAGGTTGGTGTCGGATGGAGCGAGGCGGGAGGTGTGCGTTTGGTGTGGAGGAAGCCGGTGTGTACAGGTTTTGATTTTAATTAAATCTTTCCTTTGTGGCGATTGGATCAGCCATTTCTCAAAATCTGATCCATAAATATGTGCCTCTAAAACGCTGATCAAGTGTACTTATCAAGAATATATCAATTCTTTATAGAAAAATGCAACAAAACCGCTTGGAATATAGGCAGTGAAGTTTAATTGAATGCCAGAGAATGCATTACCATGAACACATCCATCACTTTTGATCGGTAAATGTCAAAAAAC